GTACTGTAGTTTTAACTGCATGTTTCTGATATCTCATAATATTGGGCATGTATTGTTTTGTTTGCCACCTATGTATCCTCTTTGAAAAAACATTTGCTTTTTTTTTTGGGGGGGGGCTATTTTTAATGGGTGTTGGTGAAGTGATTTTCATTAACAAATAGAGATGTATAACAAAAGAAAAAATATCCTGACTTCCTAGACTAAAATAATTTTTATCATAAATATTTAAAATTTATAGTATTTATGAAATATTTAAGTCACTTAAAAATTTATATTTGCAAACTAAAAACAGACTTTTACTTCAAAAAGTTTTCTCCACCTAAGACAACGAGCTAATAACATAGGTTGTCAAGTGGAACAATATAATGTAATATAAATTATAAGACTCAGTTCAGCTGAATTATGTGCCATGTATCTATTAAAACCATGTTCATTCCTGGGTTCAATACCCAGAAGAACAACAAAAGAGTGGACACTAAAATCAAGTTCATGGTTGGCCAGGCTTTAATCTCAGAGAGTTGAGAGGATGAGGCAGGAGGATCACAAGTCCAAGGTCAACCTCCTCAATTTAGTGAGTATCTGTCTCAAAATGAATAAAAAAATCAAAAAGACTGGGGATATAGCTCAATGATAGAGCACCCCTGGGTTTAATTTCCTATTGCCACAAAAAGTAAAAAAAATCAAGTTGATTAAAAAACAAAATACATATGCCTCCTACAAAAACAAACAAAAACYCTCAAAATACAAGAATTTCCTAACGCTATTAACATATAATAAGTCCTACCTCTTCATCCACATGATCTTGGTTAGACCTTTCTTCCTTGGTCCTTTGAGATGCTACTTCCATGGCCTTTGAGAGAAAATAAAAATAATTTTTCAACCTAGAGACAATGCATCCATTTCTATGGGGTATTTGTTTTTGTGTTTGGTGGTGTTGAAGATTAAACTCAGGGGTGCTCAGAGTTGGRAGCCACATTCCCAGCTCTTCTTWAAAAGTTTTTAGAGCTAGGGTCTCAATAAATTACCAAGGCTGCCTTCAAACTTGTCATCCTTCTGCTTTAGCCTCTCAAGTCACTGGCATTACAGCTGTGCACTACCAAGTTTGGCTATTTCTGATTTAGTAAAAACTTGTTCTGATCTTTACAGGTGTTACCTGTCCACAGTTATCAAARTGCTTAGTGACCTAATGGTGCAGGCTCTCTCTCTACCACAGACACTAAAAAAGTTGTCATCAACCCTCAAAGAAACAGAATATACTCTCCTAGCTTTAGAGAATCCCTAAATCCTCTTCTTCAAAAGTAATACTAATCTGGGGTGGGGTTGTAGCTTGGGTGTAGTGCACTTGTTTTGCATGCATGAAGCCTTAGGCTACATCCCCAGCACTGCAAAAAAACAAAAGCAAAAGGACTACTACTTGTAATATAATTTTTGAGTAGCAAAAATATTTACTACAGGAAAACTGAAACCTAAAGAATGAAAGAACCAGCTGGGTACGGTGGCAGGCTACTCAGGAGGCAAGGCAGGAGAGTATCTTGAGTCCAGTAGCAAGGCCAGAATCGGTAACACAGCACCCCCCCTCAAAAAAAAAAGAAAAAAAAAAGGAATCATTCCTTAGTTCTGGAGAAGTCTGTCATACAAGAAAGCTGCAATATGGCTCAAAATGATGCTATATTATAGCCACCAAAGAARGCTCTTTGAGCAAACAACTGCTGAAACTAAGGTGATAAAGATGCTATAAGGTTCTTGGCTTATAAAACTAAAGATCTATTCTCAGATTCTCACCATGGCAGTATGATTTTCTTTTCTTTTTTTTTTTTTAAGTACAGACACTAAAATCAGTATTGAATTAAAGAATTTAAGAATAAAAATGTGGTAAGTTATTTATTCAATTAACATATATGGTCACCTACTRTATGTCATGTACCGATCTGGTGCTGGAAATACACAAATAAAACTCCTGTACCTTAAGAGTTTA